CCGACGAGCAGTGGCGATCTGATAGTTTTTTGACACACGTGTACAACACCTATCTACGTGTTTAAATATATTATATATACATAAATAGTATATGCAAGTTAACGTACAAAGTATATAATATTATAATACTTCGAAAACAGACGTGCGCGCGGGTTTTAAAACCGACGGCTTTGGTGTGAACGGTTTTTTTTTTCATCAATATTACTTACTGTATAATGTATATATTATATTGTTATAATGTATTATTAATATTATTTTCGAATATTTTTTCTCTCGATAATAGTGTACACATGCCGAGACGTTATATTATGGCAGTACATTATTATTTTTATTACTAGACTTCATATCGCGCGAGTTATAAACGACTTTTTAATATGTGGCCCATGACATCTTCTTCTCGATATATCCTACGCCGCCGGTCCGCGCTTTGAATCGCCAATTTCTCACGTAATGAAGACCAAACGACGGATATATATTGTACTCGCATATTATTATGAGTATATGATTGTATTTTATTATTATTATTATTATTCTTGTTGTTGTACGTGTAGGACCGACACCGTCACTTCTTCATTATTATTATTATACGACGTACGCGTGTACGGTTTTTGATATGTGTGTATGTGCAAGACGCGTCATTAGCGACAATTTTCCGACTTCACCTGCCCACCTCCAAGCACGCGTATATATTTAGACGTCTCGTATACTTAGAGGTACCTCCGAATTGCAGGCCCGGTGCAGCGATTCACCTGTTTTACTATTTTTTTTTCTATTACATATGTGTATTACATACATGTAGATTAAAATTTATAAACACTACTAGGTATATATTATAATACAGCCGCAGCGTGTATTGCTCGAAATTATTATTGACAGACACCGGTGGCCGGTGTTGTTATTTAATTTTTTTTCTGGTCCTCAATAATAATTGTTAACGAAACGAAATTCTAAAAACGGATTATCCGTAATATTATGCATTATATTTGCGTAGGTACTTAACGTCACACATATCTACTATATACATAATATTGTTATAGTGCGGCTGTATCATCGTATTAAAATTTAATCGCCTTCGTTTTTACCACCTAAATATAATATGTAACCGACCGCCACGGATAACCACTGCTAATGAATATAACTACCTACTGCGGTATACTGCCTATATTATATGCGACGCGATTCGAAAATCCGTTAACCGTTATATTATAAACGATTGATAATGTCACGAAAATACATTTACCAACCTTGTATGCGGCGGTTGTGTAGTCTTTAACTTCGACATGATCATTAGAATCCCGATGAGTGTGTATGTATAAAAAAACACACTGTCCGCCAGACTTTCTCGATTTTACTATCACTTACGCGAGTACTTATAGTTACGCCTATACATAAATATAATAATATATACTATGATAAAAGTCCATTACACGGGGAAAAAAAAATAATAATAAAACGCATTTTTATTGTCATAAAAACATAGCTATCCGTACGTTGGATAAGGAAAAAAAATATACAGCTACGGCGAGCAGAGACGGTTAATTACGAAACGGAGTAATAAAAGACGTGTATAATATAGAAAATGTTCACGATGCACACACACACACACACACACATAGACGAGCACATTACGAGCGGGTACACGATTCGAATACTATATAAAATAGTACGCACAGGTGGTTTAGAAAATTCGATAAATTAAAAATATATAAAGCGCGTTATAATATTATGATATTCGCATTACGAATGCGCCAGTTGTGTTTGAGGCGAGAACTCGTTTTTCAATACACAGTGCCTGCAATATAATATAATATTATTAAAGTGTACGTTATTGGGAGGTGTCCATAAATAGTTGTTCCGTTGTGTACGTGATCGATCGCCCGGACAAAGCGACACGGGTATTAATTTCTAAACACACATTTTATCATTGATTTACACGAAATCCGCCGTACATGACGAAGTCGTCGTATTTTTTAACACGATGTGACGTGTACGTTCACTATATATTATAATAGTGTTCTATGGTGCTGTGGTCACACACGCTGCTCGTTTTCGTAGAATTATAATATTCATATTATTATTTTTATTAATCCGTCCGGCGTCGTTGGTTAATCGACCGAAATAATATTACATTACCACCGAGGCGGCCGCGTACGTCGAGCGGTCAGAACTCAAAATAATAACAATTTTAATCCGCTGTTACGAAAACGGCGAGGATTTCACACGATATGCGGGGGTGCGCCCCCCCACCGTACAGATTCTTCGCGTAACACAATATCATCATAATGATGTTATCGTTATGGATTATAATATAATTCAGGTCAATCTCGTGGCCGTATTTAGGGGCGAGGGGAGCCAACAGGGGGCAGTTGCCTTAGGTGGCTATAGTATTTAAAAAAATTTCATTGTTTTAATCCTCTCATCATACCTTACATTTGTTTATTTTCTACAGTTGAATATTATATTATTTTGTTGGTTTATATATCATTATTGTTAGCACCATAAACACATAAACCGTAAACATACAACACGGATCAGAGAATTAAATGAAATATTCCTAGTCACAATCCAGACAGAAAATTAAAATGTTCTTCCTGCCTCTGGGTGGAAAATTACTAAATATGCAATGCAATGTACCTACTACAAACCGACGAGGGGCGCGTTTTGTGCGGTAGCCGATTTAATTATATTAACGGAGTGATTTTATTGATAATAATATAGCCGTCACGTCCACCGGCTCGCGATAACGACATATGCACAGAATGTCATTACGAGTTCACAGGTCACATCAAAGGCTCATATTATTATTATCATTATTATTTTCGTTGTGGTGTTTAAACAACTGTACAAACGTTTCGCGCGCTCGTCTGAAGGGCTCGCAATCGTGTTTTGTCCTCTCTGCCGCGGACTTTTGGTCGCATTTTCACGAGAGCGTTTCGATGGCGTAGATAACACACGCTCTGTGCCCTACTTCGTACCCTCTCACTCCCTCCGAGTTTTTTTTCCTACTCGAAACGTGCATTACACTCGCGCGCGTGTGAACGAATAAAAAAGCAGCCCTCTATCTGTGGCCGCCCATCTTCAAAGAGGTCGCGTATACACTCGTACCGCACAAATAATAATAATAATATATAATATTGCTCACGCGTATAATATGTCATACCGTCGTTATTATTTTCCGTAATTGGACGAGGGCCAGAGGCCGTGGCCGACGCACGTTTCTGGCACACCCTGTATAGTGGCGTACCCGTCACGGCGGGACAGTATTATTCCTTTCAGATCGCGTATATAATAATATTATTATGTATCATTAAAACGTGATAGTGTAGTCGTAAATTGTGTTTAAACATATTGTTATGGTTATAATATATAATATTATGTGGTCACCGCGGTTGAAGACGACGACGGCGAAAACGGAGACTTGTGACCATAATATTATTATAGTGACGACCTCTCGCGACGAGATGTATTTTAATTTTGCAAACGCTCTGGACATCATCATCGTCGTCGTCGTCGTCGTCGTTTCCAGGTGTGCTCACAAGTATAACAATATAATACGTACCGGCCGTGTACATAGTGTACGCCACTTACTGTTGTGTATATAATATATTATTATTGTCGTTACGTAAACGGTGGTGTGTACCTGAACGGTGAATGGCGCGCGCGTGTAGCTGCGATTACGCGCGGCAAGGGGCAATGGCATCGCGATAAATCGATTTCAGCGGAAGAAAAAAAAATAACGTAACACACATACGCGCGCGGCTGATGTATTATTGACAGGTACAAGCTACTTTATGTGTATGTATATTATATATTATATAAGTACCTATATATATATATAAAAATACATATGTATAACGTGGCTATATGGTGCCGTACGGCTGAGGTCTGCGAGAGAGACGGAGATCCCGAGGCTGCCCGCACCCATACACTATACCTAAATGCAGACCACTGTATATTATACCGGGTGATCCGTTTCGTGTAAGACACTATGATGGTAATATTATTTCAAAATCTATTAGCGTCTTTGAAAATAAAAATTTTTAATATTTTTACATTTTAAATGACCACCTGGGTTGTTATCGTTTTTTGCATCCTTATTAAAAATCGGAATATTTTTTTGGAGTCCTTTGACGTATTATAAAAATTCGAAGTTTGGACGAGTGGTTTTTCAGTTAAAATTATTTGAAGTTTGATGAGCTGAGTTGAGTAGTCCTCCGCAATATGTTGGTCCACACTGCTAGGCTCCTCTAAACATGAAATACATAAGATACTAATAATAAAAACAAGTATTCTGGAATACGAAATTAAAAATGTACAGCTGCCATTCGGAATAGTAAAATTAAAAAAAAAAATTTTCAATAACATTCTTTTTTTCTGGAATAATGATACCTATAGTGTCTTACGTTTAATGGATCACCCCGTATATTGTATATTATGTATTATGCATTTAATATGCACGCGTCGATTGAGTGTCGCGCCGGATCTGTGGAACGCATAAATTACGTTGCACCGCGCATTTTATTATGCATTTATACGCATCGGTATTATACGTGTGAATAATATAATATTATTATAACATGGTATATAATATGATACGCTTTCCGCACTCGTCTTATCGGCGGTGACAGATATCGGTGGTAAACGAAAAATTGTGAACTTGCGGCGATTTGTTGAGCGATAAAAGTATACATACCATAAAATATAAACCACTATATATGACTGCAGTTTTCGAACCCTTTTTACAACCCCTAAATATTTTCACTTATATGCTATTACTTTGTTTCCAACTTACCGTTTTCTATGACATAATCGTCATAATCCTAATAGTATATGTAGTTATACATTATATATTATTATGTCTTATAAAATTATTTACATGTTTCTTGAATAACTTTGACATAATAACATATAATTTATATTTTTTTGGCAATACCTTGATATTGAGTAATTATTAAATTTGTATAACATAAGTACTGATTTTTCAAATTGTATTGTTGCAGGATCGACGAGAAACATGTGTAGGCCGTCTCACTTCTCTCATCCGGCTGCCGCCTGGCTGAACGGTGGCAACAACAACAACAACAATAACAATAACAACAACGGAAATAACCAGTTAGACACCAAAATGCAATCGTCGTCACCCGGCGGCGGTTGGTATTCGTCGTCGCCGACGGTGCAGGACGACTCGCCATCCGCGGTCGCCTCTTCGTCCAAAGACATGCAACATTCCGGCGGCGGAGGAGGCAACAACAACAACAACGGCGGCGGCGTCGGTGGCGGACATCCGATGTTCACGTTCCCGCCGACACCGCCTAAGGACAGCACGCCCGACTCGATGACCACCGCCACGACGACGGCCACGAGCTCGTCGTCGTCGTCTTCGTCTTCGAACAGCGCGGCGGCCGCGGCTGCTGCTGCGGCCACCGCCTACTCCATTGCGTCCATGGGCGTGTTCCTGCACCCGGACAACCATCAGGGATGCGGTGGCGGCGGCGGAGGAGGAGGCGTCGGCGTCCAGGACGTGAAGCCGTCCATGCTGGTGGCCGGTGGCTCGTCGTCAAAACAGCGCGAAGGTACCTCGTCGTCGAGCGGCGCCACGTCGCCCGGCAGCTCGACGTCCGCCTCGTCCTCGTTTAACGCGTACCACCTGAACCACCATCATCACCACCTCGGCGGCGGCGGCGGTGGTGGCGGCGGCGGCGGTCAACACGAACCGGCCGCCGGCACCGCTGCCCCGACGTCCTCGTCGTCCTACACCCATTATCCCTATCACCACCACCATCACCACCATTCGGCCATCGCTCCCGCCGTTTTCTCGCCCGCCAAACACCCCTCGTCCTCATGCCATTCGCCCGGCACCAACGCCATGAAAAACTCCTCGTCCTCGTCGTCCAGAAATAAGTCTAGGACCAGCGCCGGTAAGACCATTTTGCCCCAGACAAGTATAATACTAACAATAATTAACCGCCTGTTTAACGATCTATTATATATGTATATTATAATACAATAACACTATTTTATAACATTGTGTAGATCGAATAATATACAATATAATAACAATGATAATATTATTATACAATATAACACTAGCGGACTTTTTTTATTTTCTATACTAACAAACTAATATATAATGTACACTAAATAAATGCATAATGATTTACACCATTACTTCTTCTAACACTGTTAGTCGCTTCTCTAACTACTAATATATTGCAGCAACATAGTATATATTATACCTATGATTTATAAGCTTACATTATATAACTTAGCCAATATTATTTTTCGTTTATACTTATCTACACGTATACATTATATATTAGGTACTCAACACTTTAGTTTCACTCCTTATATACATATTACATATTATACATACCTACCTACCAATTTCATTATATTTACCAATACTTACTTTAACTATATTTTATATATGTATATTATGAGGTCGGGCTATAAAAGTTTTATTAAAATGCAAAACAAAAATCAATATTTCCGTGACATATATCGTACTATCCGTTTATTGGTTTTATATAAATTAGATAAATAATGCGAAATTCCAGCCCCCCGACCATATAACTCATACTTAACCTAACCTACGTACCTATTGAATATTAGACATTAGCTTGTATATACCGGTTATCGTAACGAGCTATCTTACCTCAAGTTTGTCGTGTATAAATATAATAGCCGACCCGATCTCGCTCTATGGTGTTTTCGACTTTAAAACACGTGCAATAACAAAAAATAAATACAATTATGGGTGCGGCGGGCGTTGCACAATTTTCGTATGCAGAATAAATATAAATTACTCATAGTATTCCGTCACCGCGGTATTATATAAATTTAATATTTATAATATATATAAATACATTATGTGCGATAAATCATTTTGTAGTATAAGTTCACCGATTCAAATTATTATGGATATCCGCGGTCGAGCGTATTCGCACAAATTATGGTCGTTAATTCGAGATTAATTACACGTTTATCGTTTTTTATTGCTTTCCCGTCGACGCAAAGCGTGTGCATTTTTTTCGTCTTATACGTATTTCATAAATTCTCTGCGTCTATATGTCTATTCGGTCATGACATTCAAACCTTCGTACTCAATATAGACAAACGAGTGTATATTATAATATGCGAGATCGTAAGAATTTACCTGTATCTGCCGATGAAGGATTTCGTGTATATAGGTACAATACGCGGAGATTGCGTTTGTCATAGGTACCTGCAATAACCGTACGATTCGAATTTACGATAAAATCCTCTGCACGACAAATTATTTAACGGATATTGATAATATACAATTTTCTCGGGATCAATCGTTTTTAATACAGTTTTAAATTGTAGTATATAGGTATAGGTGGTACTCGTTTACATACCTATGGTTACATGCGGTGTATCATTTTAACATATATATTATTACGATAATTAATTTATGCTGTTGACTTTATTACTCGCCCAGATGACTATTAAATAATTACTTACCTATGGTTTATTTAAAAAAATTCAAACAACATTAACGACTCCACGCACACACACACACACACACACACAAAATATAAAATCCAGAGATTTCTGGTCGCGTCGTCTCCTATTAAAATCTCTAAATTAGTTAATCGTGCATTTAGGTATAATATTATGATATATAAACCTGCTATACGCGTACCTACGTGGGTATATATAATATACAATATTATATTATATACCTACGATATGTTTTCCACTCGCATGTCCCGGAATCGAACAACTTTTGAACGTATAATTCTGTTATAATAACGACGTGTGCGCGTAGTCTCGAGTAATGTCATCAACCCGTCTCGATAGATTTGTCAAGGTTGCTTGCAGCAGCAACAGCGGCGTAGGTACCCGCGATCGGTCTATCATCGTCGTCGTCATATTTTAATATCACATAATGTTATTATTATTATTATATTTACGGAGGAGGTCGTTCTATGAACGATAAACGCGTTTTTAGAAAACTGTCGTGTGCCAGCTATTCGGTTAAATGTAGATCTCGGGACCCGATGACCAATGCGCCACAGGTTTGACCACCGCTCAGTTAATTTTTTTGTACGCTACATAACATTATTGTGCGGGTTAAGACGCACTTATTACAATACAATAATGTGCTTGCCATAATCGCGTGTGACAGAAGGTGACGTACGTTTTGACAGGAGGTATATTTACCCATAAATTAGTGTCAAATATAATATAAAACCTCGACAAATAACGTACCAATATACGAGTGCGATTTCGAATATCTACGGGAAAATATTATTATATTACTCACTTAAATACGGTTATATACGTTATTTATGTCCGCACGCTGACCACAGTTTTTTTTTATTCTTCATTTCGACTTGCGTTATTATATATATAGTTACCTCCACGCGACACCGGAGCGGCCGCCATATTGGCTGCGCGGGCCGCACGTTAATGGTACCTATACTTATATATATATATATAATACTAAGGAATACATTATATAAATGTATATACCGACTGAAGCATAACGATTTGCCGACATTAAACACACACACACACACACACAAACATATACGACGTAAATAACATAATTTTACAGCTCTCGTGATTAGACGTACGCAATACAATAATATATTATTTTTCCTCGCACGATGACAACACCCCCGCGGACTTAATTATTATTATTATCATCGTTATTATTATTATATACTTCCGCTTTGAAACCTATATATATTATAATGTATTATTATGTATATAGAGGTTCTTTCTTCTTCACTCACCGCAGGTATATATATTATTATACAACGAGTATATAATGTACTAACATGGCGTTTGGTTGAGGGGTGTTTCGCTTGCTGGAAATTAATACAATAATGAGCTGACGCATTGATAATATACCTGAATATAATATTCTTTTCGCGCTCATCAGCGGCGCCATTTCAATTCTAAACGAGGCCGATAATGTTGTAAATTTTTATACACTCGCATATTAACATAAATATATATGTATAATTGTTTACTTACTCATAATTTTCCCCGACTTAATTTACTTTGCAGCGATGCAGTTTATACTTGGTCAGTTTGACTTTTGAGCATGAAAAAGTGCGACGGCGATGTTAATGATGTATTATCATTATTATGCATCGTGTACAAATATTTATATTTTATCGCAGGCCAACAATCGTTTAAATTGTTATACTCTCCTTCTTCTCCCTTCAAATGGCGCTCCTTGTTCCCTGCAGCTCGCTTTCTTGTTAAACATCTATTAATGCTTTTATATAACAATAATGTTCTATTCTATATTTTAGTATATAGGTAATATGTATGTAATTGGGTTAAGTTCGCGCGCGCATGCATAAAGAATAAAAAATAGTACAAAAACGACCTCGGCTCGAGTTTTGGTTGAAATAAGTCCTTGGCCCGGAGTTGGCTATACGCTGTGCGTATATATAATATGGTTTATAGTATATATATATATATAATTTACTAGGTATATAAGTGTGTACGTAACGCGCAGGCGCTCTCCAATCCGTTTCCTGCGGAGAAGAGACCGTAACAGAGCTGCTGCACGCTGCGATCATATAATTTTAATAAATCTTCGTCTTTAAATCGATCCTCCGCTCACGCAGATATATCCGTCATGTAGAAGAGATCGTGTTCGATATCATAATAATAATATAATATTGTGCCCCTGGCGCAAGTTGACGAAACGAAAATAGGAACTCCTGCACTTTAGTGACCCGTTTTCACGAGACGAGACTGCATTTTTTATTTTCATGAATACCTATTATCGTCGTTTCTGTGCCAGGGTGAATTTTGCCGTTTCAAATTTTATCTCATCCCTATTCCGCCCCCACACACGACCTTTTTCCAGAAAAAATTATAAGCGTTCCCTCGACAGTCCATATATTATTTGATATATACATCATGTGTGTATATTATAGTCTCTAGCCGTCGAGTTTTAGCAGCGATCGACGTCATTTTACGACCAACTGCGTTTTACGATCCTCCGGATTAGGTTTTCCTTTTCTTTTTTTTTTTTTAATAAACAGTTGGACTCGTTTTTTATCGTCCCTTAAACCCAGTCCAGTTGTTAAAAACAAAAACTGGGTCAGCAGCCATTTTTCTCGAATTATTCTACTAATTTCACACACACGCAAGATATATCTTTATATTTATATGATTGAATGGCACGAGGGGCGCGATAACGGTTTTTTCTTTTCGTTATTGGACGGTTGATCCTTAAATACAAGGGTACTATATATATATGTGTGAGTAAGCGTGTACACAGTCGGGGATCGGTTAAAAACTCAATTTTCCAAATGACCAGTTGCCCGTAAACACACTTATTATTTATATATATATATATATATATATTGTATACAGAGAGAGGGAGAGAGAGAAATATCAATTCCGAAAGAGGGTACTCTTCGGGGCCGGGTATAAAATATCTTTTAAGAAGATTGGAAATAAAATCTTTTCTGTATATACTATATATACACAACAATGGACCTCATCGTATATGTACACAGGCCTTGCACTCGGTTGACAGCAGCTAATAATATAACGACGACAGCGACGACGACCCTCGCGAAAAATAATATATAAGTCTCGTCTTGAGTGAAGAAATAAGTAAACATATTATTATATGGGTAGGTATACCTATCTAACCTACCTAAAATATCGTACGCGCACACTCGCGCTCTCCAGTAGGACGACTGTACCCATATAGGTACATGTGGGTATTACGCGCGCGCGCGCTCAATATAATTTTCGTGCCGGCAGCAACTCGCGTACACGATACACGCGTGTGTATAAAATATGCATACGTGTGTGTGTGTGTGCGAGCGCGCGCGCGTATTATTCCAATGGGCATTCCGGGTAATGATACGCTATACAGTCTAATTAGCGGTGAAATTTACATACCGTACGGGTCGTTTCTAGTGCCCACGCATCACGAACTGCGTATACAGGTACATCGCGCGGTTGTTGTCGTTGTTGTACCTATTATTTATTTTATTATTATTATCATTTTTTATATTCTTTTCGTCATTATATATAGACGCGTTATGTTATACACTGTTGTACCTATGCATATATATATATATATAGCCATATGTAGGTAAGTACACGTGTAGGTATAATATATATAGCCATATAGGTAACCGTCCCGTTATATATATATGAAAAATTTTGTTATTAGTGTTTTGGTACAGTCGCAATAATAATAGTATACCGTGTGCACGTGTAGGGGGCTAGGTATGTATTAATATATAGATAGGTAGATTTGCAAAAGTTCGAAATGAGACTGCGGCGGAGAGATCCACACATATTATATACATATATGTGTTATTATATTATAACTATACTGCTGCACTCGAGTTGGTGAAAAAAAAAAAAGGAAAAAAAGAATATCGTATACGCGTATGTGTGTGCTCTCTCGCGCGCGTAATTACCCACAATACGTGTGTACATTATATAGGTGTAAGTATCTATCTATATAGGAGTTCGTGATGCCGGGACGAGATAATGGCCGGGTGCCGGGTTATATTGTGGCTATTAATTTGGAAAGGAGCTGCTGCTGCTGCAGCGGTGTGCAGTATATATGTAATATGGAAACAGCCTACTTATAACGTGAAATCGAATACGATAAATATATGGACGCGCGAGCTCGTGTCCATATAGTATGTGTGTGTCGGTGTGAGTGGGTATTATAGCGTATATTATAATGTATAGAAAAGGGATTTTTCGTCAACGTCCAACGGCGCTATAGGACACAACAACGCCGGTGTGCAAAGTGTAGGTATATATATATATATTATATATATACTTTATATTGTATACGTACGCATTTTCCTAGATCAGGCTAAAATGTATAGGTAATATATATAGCTGAGTTAATATATGCGCTCGAGACGAGGTCGTTGAGTGCCAGTATTTTTTTGTTCTCGGACATTTTTTTTCCGTTTCTTTTTTGGCTTTCACACTGCGAAACGCTTGCGTGCATCTTACCCATATATAATATTATAATACCTATATTGCCTATATCGGCGCAGCATTAGCACGACGTGTGGTTAAACGGTTTTTTCCTCCTCCGGATAATATGGCAGAGCGCGACGACGTGCCGTCACACCCAACGTAATTAAAATATATTTTTTTTTTTAAATATATAATGATAAAGAATATTCTTATTTTGACTTTTGGTCGCACGCCGTGTGCGCGATCCTTCTCATCTATCACTCACTCTCTCCGCGAGAACACAATGGTAATATATTTTAATAGAATAATCCGTCAAGATCGCTATGGAGTCGCCCTGCAATAGGTATAAATATATATTACAATTATAACATAACCACGCTTAAATAATAACATCACGTCATTATTGCTGTTGCTGTGCCGATGTATCTGAAGATATGGCATGATATATTTTATGTTTGTAAAATGTAAAATTTTAGTGTAAAATTATCAAATCCTCCAAATACATCCTATATAATATATTATTATATGTATAATACAATATGATGCTACTGTTATATAGTCAATCTCCGATGCTGTACAAGCGGGGGGGTGGGTTGCTAGAGCCCTTTAGCCCCTTCCCCCTGGCTACGCCACTGAGTACCCCGTGTATTATTTAGATTGGTGGTGTGTAGATTTGGGACTTTTGGCTGCATATAACGCGTACCTACTAATATATTAATTATAATACTATACATGTTGTGCATACACGAGTTTTTTGTATTTACACGCGTGTGCGCGTTGTGTGTTTGTTTGCAGAAGGACGAGAGTGCGTGAACTGCGGAGCCACGTCGACTCCATTGTGGAGGAGAGACGGCACCGGACACTACCTGTGTAATGCGTGTGGCCTCTACTATAAAATGAACGGGCAAAACCGGCCGCTGATTAAGCCCAAGAGACGTCTGGTGAGTAATATCGCCACCATTGTTCGCTTTTGGCGCTCGTTATATTATATATTATTATGTACCCGAGCTCGCGTGTATATATCATAGTGTGCGCTCGTGCGCGTGCGCCCGTCCGTGTGTGTGTGTGCACAATGAAATTATTGTTCTGCCTCGTATGCATAATATGTTTAATATAGGTACCCAATATATATTATGTACAATATATTATTATAATAGTATAATATATTTACCCCGACCCCGAGAAACCGAGTTGGAATTTAGACGCGAACGGTTAGAAAAAAAAAAAAATTTCAAAAAAACATCACTCGACGAAGAGACTACGCACCACGAATATCATCGATCCGGTACAATTTTATATGTGTTCTATCGAATTATTATGGCGCTGCCCGGTCTACGCGGTATACCTCTATATGTGGCTATATATTATAATATTATTTATTGTAAATACATACGCGACGAAATTTTACGAGAATCCGACCCACGTGTGCCTGCTCTAACGAAGGTCGTCATCGAATTTGCCGACGTTTTTTTTCTTCCAGTATAGTATACTTTTTTAGTATTGTATATACTCCCCAACGACAATGATATATATTAAGCATATATTATGCGTTTGTATAACTGACTGACTTACGTCTGTTTTGCCGTCCGCAAAAAATGTAAATTCGTTCTCTTCAAACAATATTTCATGTTCCACGTGCCGGACGACAAAAACAAGGTCCTAATTTGTAATATATCTCCCACTATCCCCCCGAGCGACACACGCACACACGCGCGCAATATGTTATTTCCTATTATATAATATTATTCTATATACATATAAATTATGTTGAATTTATGAATAAATTGTTCGCGCGCGAGTTTAAAATAAACCGTCTGTTAAGTATAATTTAAAATATTTAATGTTATGCGCTGTATCATGGCACGGTATCCCAAATACGAGTAACCACCCGTGCGTATATAAAAAAAAAAAGCGGGAAAAACGTTACGAGAAAAATTCATCCCTCCGCCACCCGCTTGTATTATGATATTATAAGTCATAACATTTTTATACCATAGTTTTTTGTGATACGATAATGCCGACGGTAGAAAATAATGATATTGCGTCTTGTGTGACATAATAATATAGGGTAGGTATACTTGGTAGTGAGTCTGATTCGATGTGTGTAATATATTATTTCGATTTATCTCGTATATAGAATCATTATGTTTTCGTATAATAATATATTATCGGGTGAAGCTCGACTGTCGGAGGTGCAGTGGCGAAGGCGAAGGAGGCGGAGGCGTGTGGCGTATATCGACCAAACTACGGTCTTATATATTGTATAATGTTATATATTTTTTTTTACACAGCTCGCGAATATGCTATCGCCAGGAGGGTGGACACACACACAAATACGCAATAACAAAAACCACGGAAATTAAAAAAAGCAAACGTCGAGCTATACTATTCGGTGTACAGAAATCGAACCGTCACCGCCGCGCCACTATACACCGCTCCGGGACCGCCTATGTATATGATATTCGTATATTATATTGATTTTCCCGTCTAACACGCTGTATACACATATATACGCGACTGAATACATATATTTTTTCTGTGTTTGCGTGTGTGTATTATATAGTCCCCCTGTATATATATAATATCTGTCTCTCTGTCTCTCTCCATATATATAGTATATAGCCCTGCGTTTCCTATGCATTTTACACGGTCGCGCGCCGGTGGGAAAGCTGTACGAAAAACGAGGGGCGACAGCTGCTGGGCCCGCGGGGAGTAGCCATGTTCGAAATTCGTCCCCTTTGCTCGAAACCCCGTTTACGTTTTTATTTCTCTTCCGTGTGTTTTCGTCCCCGACAACAACCGGTTACCACGGTCGGTTACCCCTCGCGACCATCATTTGACGAGCATATATATATATATATATATATAGGTACCTACTGTTCGTTATATTATATTCGTCAGCGTCACCGTCCAATCGTCGGACGAGTCGTACAATATAAAGCATCGTGCTGTTGAATAACCATATATTATTATGACGGATGTGTATAACATGCGTGCGGGGATTTCGTTAAAAAAATTCAAGTATAGGATTTTCAGCAAAACTCGTCTTAAAAGTTTGCATGCACTATTACTACGCTCGTTTTTAACATTTATACACAATAGCATTTGTTTAAAAGTTTAATACTTGGGTATAACTGGAAAGATTTCTTTTCCGTAACGGAAAACGTCCCATCTCAGAGAGAATTTCTCTCACACATTTACCATAGGTACAAACCGCGTCTTTCGCGCATAACCTATTTTACAATAATATAAAAAATGCATATTATCATATCGTGGCGGAGTCGAGCGCGTTATTATTTGTTGTTATTATTATTATTATCATCGTACGATCGCCGGTCGGAGCACGAGGCATATAGTATGCCCGACATAATAATATATTACATATTATATTTATACCATCGCATTATAATAGTCGTACAAATTTGTCTCGCCGTGTCACCGTCCATTCGGTCGGCGTTTTTTCGCTATTGCACGCACACGCATAATATTACACACACGTATATCATATATTATTATATAGTTATAATAACGTGTATTATATTATATTATTTTATAAGCGATTTTTTTTTTTTATTCATTTTGTAGTGTTCCATACGCGCGTAATAATATATGATATTATAATACGCGGCGATATCGGTTAAACCGACGGCGGCCGACCTACTATATACCGCCTCCTCTTCCCCTGACTGCCGACCGAATTTACATATAATGGGAGCACCGCTGCGCTATACACACACACACATATAGGACTTACGGGGGACGTGTACACGATATTGTGTGTGTGTGTGTGTGTGTGTTGTTTATATACATAACGGTCGGCTACATCGTGTTTGGAGCTGAGCAAGTATATATATATAGTATAATGTAATATATATCGCGTGCCAGCAAAGCGCGCTCACTGCACAACACTTTCGGGTGTCTCTATACCTATATAATATAATATATATTATCGTAACGTCGTATATTATAATACGGAATAAATAGTATCCGAAAATATGAATTATTATACCGTCGGCGTAGTATAACTGCAGCCGCACCTCCTCTCGTTCTTATTTTTTATTTTCGCACTCGTGTCAGACGGTATATTATACTATATACAATGTACGACGTATAGGTATATAATATACAGGAGTATTATAATAATATAATATATTATTATAATATGATCGTCGCCGTGCGGGCGTAATATGGTTTTCGTTTTTCTTTTCACTTTTGCAGGGCCCTCTCGCCCCTCCCGAAAGCGCAATTAAAATATTTCGAACGATCCGTTTTCAATGAAAAAGTTTAACCAGTTTTCTCCTCTCCGCGATATAGTGTATTATACATATTATATTAGTTAAAACCCCACGCGAATTATAGTTCAACATAAATACAATAGGTACAACACTCGAAATCCGCAATATTGGTTATTATCATCGAGTCACATCGAGTCGTATAATAGGTACAATAATAATTTATTAATACATATAATAATATATATTGTTATGTATAGTAACGTGGTTGTAGCATTCGCCCAGCTTATGACTATGATTCACTCCAAATTATCCATCCGAAAGGGGGACACGATGCTCGTCTCCCTTATAACTATTATTTAACTTTTTTAACTTTATCATATATTGTACGCGTTTAAAAATGCACATACGTCTTTCAATGACCTACAGTCTTTCTTTTCTCGGACACTATATTGATATGACCCCTGGTAAATGACCAAGTGTCGTATCATCTGCCACGCCCTCGTGTTTCGAAACTTTTCTCGTACAGTCTACAACAGCATGTTGTATAAAATGACTCTAATATATGAAATATAAATAGTGTAAGACTGATAACACCTGCTAACTGTCTTATAATATCCGTGCACGCCCACTGATACTGCGCACTTTCACACATATGTGCATACGGTTTCGTTACACTAAGCCAACTTATTATTATATACATATATATATATGTTTATGCTGAAGAATATAAGTATAGCTGGTCGCGCAGAGAAGGGGAGATAATCCGATTTCACCCGAACCAGTGGTCCAAACAATTCAATTTCTACATATTATTATACTTTGGCCGTTTTATTTTATTTCATTTCGTTCGTAGCGCAAATAAACTCTCCGCCGATTACGTCACTGCAATTGGTCCGCGTCCGTCGGCGGCGACGATAATAGGCATTTAATTACACACCGCGCGGTGTATAACAATATTATATTAATCGTTCCAATCGTCGGGCAACGAAATCTTCGAGATTTTCACCATCTCTACAACACAACAATAAAATAATATTATTATAATATAATTTTCCATATTCCGGCTGGACGCGGTGCGATGATGATGGCAGTCGGTTTTCGTCCGGCGCGTTCCGGTGCGTTTCGCCTGCGGTCCGTCCGTTCTGCCCGGCGAGTCCCATTGTCCGCTTTTACTTTTCGGCGTTCCTCTGCATAATTTATGCAATAATAATAACAATTATAATACGTCGCTGTACGACTACGACGCATAATATACTTTATGATACGCTATTGAGCATCGAAAAATGGCGTGAAATCACACCTTTATGATATACGCAGTAGGCCTTGGGCGAAGGTTTGATTTACGAATAATATAACTATTTTTCAGATCTGCATCGCATCTGCGAATCCAGCACATTGCTTGTATGATACTCATCTCAGTATCAAACGAAGATAATTATACCCATATATGTATTATGTGGTACTTGTTAGAAAATTATAACCAATATACGCATGCGTACATAGTTCAATTTGTTACCCAACTGTAGATAACAGAAATTAATTTTTTCCAACTTTGAAACTTAACTATATATATAGTTACACAGTGTTCTAGTCAATAGAATTCGACTTAATTAGTTAATGTATAACCGTGTTAAATTAACAGTTTTCTCCATATTAACTTTAAACTCAAAATGTTTAAAAACTTAAAAACTCTTAAATAGTTATAC